CTTGTCCTGTTTCATCCTTGCAGCAGCTCTATTTGAAAACAGAATTGACCTGTCTTTCTGGAAGCAGGATGGGCACATTTGAAGGGCTTGGCTGTAAGAACGTTCAGCTTCTACGTAATCTCCTTTCTTAAATTGCTCATTGCCCTCCTCCTTCAGTCTAGTGCTCTCTTCTCTTCTTTTCTGTTTCTCTTCATCTGGCATGTTTTTTTCCAGTTCTATTAGGTATTCTTCGTCGAGTTCGGAGGAATTCACATCATCGTCAGGTTTGTTCTCAACCTTGTCCACTCCTGGTTCCTCCTTCTCAAATGAGGCACTGTAGTCTCGTGAAAGTTCCTCTTCGCCCTGGTCCTCCTGGGGGTGGGCCTCAACATCCTCGGGGAGCTTGTTCTGGGGCTGGTGATCTTTGGGATTAGAAACTGAAGGACCAGCACATTGTGCTTCCTGGGGATCTGAAACTTGCAAACCACTGAACAGGTCCTCTGGAACCCTACAGTTTTCTCTGACTTCTCCCCCATGCTGAACCAGTGAGGGAGGTGAAGCAGGTTCGCTTCACAGCTCCTCTCCTCACCTTCCCAGCCTGCTAGACCTGCTTTTGCTTATTTTTGCAGGCTTTTTCAACTTTGACGTAGGCAACTCTGAGCAATAAGAGAACATGCTTCCCACTAAACTATTTTTCATTTTTAAATATATATTTTTATTGATTTCAGAATTAACATCCTTGTCTGTGAGCTTCTTACAGACACCAGAAAAGGTTTCGATCTAGTCTCCCATATTGTTCTGTAGTGCTTTATCCAAACTAATTTTTCTGAGCTGGCTGCCATCCAATTCACCAGGATTCTTGTGGAGCTCCTGGGATGGGATGCTTTTTCTTATTTATTTATTTATATTTTTGCAGGCTTTTTCAACTTTGACGCAGGCAACTCTGAGCAATAAAGAGAACATGCTTCCCACTAAACTATTTTTCATTTTTAAATATATATTTTTATTGATTTCAGAGAGGAAAGGAGAGGGGAAGACAGAAACATCAATGATGAGAGAGAATGATTGATCTGCTGCCTTCTGCACACCCACCCTGGGGATCAAGCCCGCAATCCCAGGCATGTGCCTTGACCGGGAATCAAATCATGACTTCCTGGTGCATAGGTGGACTCTCAACCGCTGGGCAACACGGGCCGGGTATTGACCTAAGCTTTTTTAACCCATTCTCTTGTCTTTAAATTTGAGCTATTGTGAGGAATGCGATAATCTGTATAAACTGCACAGCATTGCACTGAATAACGACGTTTATTAATGAAATGAAATGTTAACAATGAATTACATTAATAAATGACATATTAACAATGAAATAAAGTTTACATGAGGAAGTGCTGTAAAGTTATATTAAATGTAAGATTTTGCCATTATCGTTGCTATTATTATTAAGAACTAGGATAAGCCATGAGTAAATTGATATTAATTTTAGTATAAGTATAAATTAATGAAACAGTAAAGGAATTACACAGGCATCCCAATGTCTGGGTGGGTTATAAGTAGTAGTGTATATTATTATTATTATTATCGCCCGCTCCGCTCCGACCGCCGCCGCCGCCGAGGCCCCCGTTGATGCCGCAGAGCTCCCCCAACGCCGCCGCCACCGCCTCCGACATGGACAAGAACAGCGGCCCCAGCAGCTCCGCCTCTTCGGGCAGCAGCAAAGGGCAACAGCCGCCCCGCTCCGCGTCCGCGGGGCCGGCCTG